ACTTTATGGAGATTTCTAATTCGAGAAATATAGTGGTATTTTGGTGAAGAAGTAGCACTGCTGCTCCCAGGCATTTTTATAATGCATGACTTGTGTTAAGATCACTGTCGAAAATACGTTTAAGGCGGGATCAATGCCTTGCGCACTGGTACAGGAGTAGCTTGGAAATTTCGGCAGGACTTCAATTTTTTCAAATGCTTCAGAAGCTGTTCTGAAGTCAGATATAGCCAAAACACCGTAGAGGACATGGTGTAGCAAAAAAAGCCGCCATACCTTCATATCAATTAAAATAGGCAAATCATTTGACGTACTCGTTGGTGAGAGCAGATCAAAGGATTTCAACTTTTGTGTTGCTTCTGGAGTCTCTTATAGATATCTATTGTAAGCTTTTCATTTCATTATTCCTCATCTCTTTTATCTAAACTTTTTTTTTCCAATAATTAGACATGATCAAGTGACTCTACTTTGTCGCTATCCACTTCCTTTAACCCAAAAACTCAAATTTTAAGTTTTACTGAGCCTTTTTGGGCTTTTACGCGCTGATCACGTATCACATCCGTTACGCATCGTGAAGATATGGTGAGGTTTCAATCTCTGGGAACTGAAACCACCGATTTACCAAAAATTCGTCTGGTGAGGTACCCAGGTGTTCGATGAGCTGTTACAAATATCATATCTAATGGCATTTTAGCACCTTAATGAGGAGATATAATCGGTATAAGGTAGGGTCCAAGATCACAAGTCCCCAATAAAGCGCTACTATGCGGAATGGATAGGGTATTGGTGATTAGCATGTCCTCTAGAGAAACAGGCAAATATGTGATTTTGACCTTATGGTCACCTACGTATTTCACAATAAGGCGCTACTATGCGGAACGAATATGATCGTGATCAGCATTAAATAACTAGACGGAGAATAAATGAAATCCGAAATTCTAAGTCTTTCTGGGCCAGAAAAAGTAGGTAGCTTTGGTTCTTATGATAAATGCACAACCAATCTTTTTTTTTTTTGATATTCTCTGTTACCTCGCAAACTAATAACATCGTTTTGCAAGGTGACCACTATAGTTCTTGTTTAGAGAGATGCCACCAAAACGAGCAAGAAAGAAGTCAAAAGCTCTCAAAGTGGAGCGGTCAGAAAATGATGAATGTGATGAAAAGCACCAAAGTGGATTAAATCATACTATTTTATTGAACCCTACACTCAAAATAAAAGAGGTATCTTCTGTGTTTTCTGTTTTTGGTTTTCATAAGTACTGAATTGCAAGATCCCAAATTTTTTGGAACAAATATCAAATGCATAGTTTTAGATTGTTGAACTCGGTTCATCAGCCACATTGAGGAAATGGAGTGCGAATTTTTCAGAAAATTTAGACTGGTTCCATGCGCAGAAAGGCGCACTAAAGGATATCTTAAGAAATGCGTAGGTTCACATAAAAAGTTGTAACGTTTATTGAATATTCATCATTACAGAGGTGTACCGGAAAAGTCGGTGCCTAAAACTCCACGCCGAGGTGCAGTGGCATTCGCCCGCCTTCGAGAAACGGCGGAATCGTATACCAACTACTCATTAATTTTTGAAGACAGGTATTTTGAGTGAATATATAAATTTAAGCATCGATTAAATATCATTCTTTCAAGGACGGAGAAGGAGAATGAGGAGATTGACGGTCAAGTTGAGGTTTGCCATTTAGTTTTTGTTTGGTTATAATGAAACACCCTTAAATTGATCAACTTCTCTTTTTGTATGCTTTTTAAGTGTATTACCTTTTTGAAGTGATGGCGGAATTTTGCCTTTTTTTCTTGTAATCGTGTATTACATATGCACTCGTGCTGACCTCTATCGCGATAGTAGTTGACGGAGGATACGGAGGATATCTGCTTATTCAAAAAAAAAAAAACATATTAGCTTACTTCTATAGGATTAAGTACGTTACAACTGAACTTGCAGCTGTCGAATTTGATTTGATAATTGCTGAGGAATTGAAAACCATGGCAATTTACAATGCGCAACTGTGTTTTGTCTTCTCTTGGCTTCTGGATACTCCAAAACTGCCACCTCCAAGGAAAAATTTGGAGCTTAAATATGTTTTTGATCTCTGCTAAGCTGGCATTCCATTTGAATGCAACTTTATCATGCTCATTTGTGTCCGTGACTGTTATTGCTGGTGGCCATATCCAGTTGCCCACGCGCTTCTTTTTTTGCGGTATTTTCGGCAATATGTTATAGAAGACATTTTTTGTAAGAGTTCCAACCTTCCCAATATCCTCTATGCATTTTATGATGTTCTCCGATGTTTTTCTATCATCAAAATGGTCAAAACAGTAAAACGAGATTTGGTTTTTCATTTTGGAACAGAATCTGCCTATTTTCCTCATCTTCTGCCTGCTTCAGTTCCTTATATACCACGTTTTATTTTTTTGCACCAACTTTCAACCGTCTTGTGTCGATATCCTTTACTGTAAAGGGAAACAAACCAACCACGTTGATATAAAAGTAGAGCGATACGGTGTGGATTATGATGATATTGTGCTAATTGTCAATGCTGATGATGAGCTTCCTGCTTGTTCCTTTCTGGGTAAAAGAA